AGTAACTCAATGTAATTTAAGTACGAATAATTTAATTTTCCCCAAATCGGCTAATAGGCCATAGAATTCCTGTGAAATTCGTCTATTCTTTTCCTCTAAATGATTCTCAAGGCAAAACTGGGGTTTCAAAATAGCATAGGTTTCCTCAGCACTCCCAAAGGGACTCAAAACCATTTTGCTACACAGCTGAATGAGGCAAGTCAGGCATTTCCAGTGGGATTATTGAGTAAGTTGCCATTGAAATTGGCGAAATTATTTATTTTCGCTACTTTGCCTAAAAAGCTATTTGTACCGAAAATAGGTGTGACTTCTCTGTGACTTGATAAAAAACCTGGATTTAAATGAGTCTATAAAATTAATTATGTATTATTGTTGTCGAAAGTTTAGTCAAATCAGAAAAAAGGTAAAGTATACTTTCAGTTTTTATTATCAAAATTTACTATTATTACAGATTATAATTCCTGAGACAAAGAAAATGTATGTGAAGAACCTTATGAGAAGCAAGTCTGAGTAAAATTCAATGGTAATGTGAGACAATTTCATCAGGGAAATCCAGCTATCAGTTCCCGCATCACCCCAAGCGACCTAATCCGAAGCAAGTTTTAATCAAAGAATTAAATAAACCAGACTTATTTTTCTCGTTTATTTCACAGCCATATTAATAATGTCCTCTGGGAGCAATAGTTTCTGGGTAAAATGTATTGATAATTGACCGTTTTATCGCATCCTCGCTCAGATATTAGTTGATAAATGTCTCTGCTTCGTTCTGCTCCTCATTACTGTTGGAGCTATGATGGTTAAGCCTTTGTGCCTGGACACAGCAGCCCGAGTTCGAACACAGCTTGGACGCTGGTTAAGCCTAGAAACGAATACAGCTGCTGGCTCGCTCATGTTCTCTCTCTCTGTCTCTCTTTCTCTTAAGTCAGGGATCAATTTGACTGGTGAACTTAATTGGCAAAATTCAGAGAATTCGGGTTAGTCGTATATCACACCCACCCAACTACAGTATGGTTTTATCCGAAATTAAGTAAGGTTCGAAACCTATCTATCATTGTCACTTGAGGAAGTCTTGTTTTATATCAAAAATAATGTACGCATTTTGAGTCATTTAAGACAATGTTACTAAGTTGAAATAGATTGTCCCCAATCAAATATTAAATAAACCCAACTCCAACTTTCGACAAACTTTAGGGCTTGAAAATTGCTTATTTCTTTTGTTTGAGTTCATAATAAAACGAGCACCACTTTGGTCTCATTGTTAACCGGCTCACATTATAATTATAATGCTAGACATCGCGTTGCCTTGGAGTAGACAGTTGACTAATGCCCATCTGCCCAGGTTCGATGCCATCATCGAATAATTTCCTAAAGATAGGAAGGAGACTCTTAAAAGCAGATGACCTAGTAAACCTAGAAATGATAGCTCAATCGGCAAACCCCAAAGATACTTTCCGATAACCAATAGCCCAAGTTTACCAATCCAAATTATTAACTGAAAATCCTATTTTTAGTTGGCTCAGACCCCGCAAGGGATATGAGTATATGTTGTCCAAGAAGAAAACTGTACTGGATTGGATACATCGCTGTCGGCTGAAAGGACTTCTTACACATGAGATACATTCATCCTAATTTGTTTAAGGTAATGTAGGACCGATATGGGCAGACCTGATGTTTCTATTGAATTTTAGAAGGCTGTCTCCCAA